TCTGCTTTTCTGCGAACACCTGTAATTTCATAAATAATTTGACGCGACGTTACAAATAAAAATGCCAGATAAGACGAAGCAAAAAAATTTTACCTCTTTCTTTTCGACTTATTTTATTCTCTAGAATTATCCTGTATCACCAATTACGAACCATCCTGTAGTGTATTAACTAATTGTTAAAATTATCGAAATTGAAACACGGTGATCTTAGAAATTAGAAAGTAATTAATTCGATTGTCCGTACAATACATATAACAGTGTTGATCGAAAAAAGAGGAAGAGAGAGAAAGAGTGGAAAAGAGCAAAGAAACAGGAAGAAAAAAAAGAGGAGAAGGAGGAAGAAAGATGAGAATCGTTTTTTCTTTTAGCCATCGATTCGCGTCTTTTTTCACTAACACGACAAGACAATACACTGCTCGAATTTACAATCTTCAGTTCATTATTTCTGGCCAAAAGCCAGGCCTTGATGCTGTTGGTTCGATCGCTAACCTCCGCTCTCGAAGCTCTTCATTCATTCTTCGTTCCTTCCCCCTCTCGCTCAGCCCTAAAGAACTAAAGTAAATTACATTAGAGGGCAGAGGATAGTTTTATCGAGCCAATCTACCAGATGTTTCCTAAGGCACCAAAGATTGTCGGTCCGGAGAAGTGGGGAGGAGAAAAAGGATTTTTAACAACATCCAACGTTCTTTCAAAGATGTCGCAAGACGCGTAATCCGCGCACCGTCAAATTCTTTCCTCGCTTCGTCAAAATTTAACTTGATCGTTCGCATTGCGCGTTGTTTGTTTCCTACTTGGGCCAAACTCGCCGCTGCTATTAACTACGTAGTTAGTTGTTACTATTAACTCTTCTCGGCTTTTGTTAACTGTTTGCGAGTTGGATTGATCTCCGGAGAATTGATACTTCATCGTATATGCATATTGGCACGCCTACGCTCTGCAGTCACTTGTAACTTGTATATTATGCAGACATTTTATTATGACGTTACTCTACTTGCTACCTATGGTATCGCACCGTCGAGACTTGCGTAATGTAACAACGTGATTGTAGTTGACGATCATTATCTATAAAAATCGTACAAACATCGTTTCTCGTTAAAGATATCTTCACGTTTGTTTGTTTTTAAAGAAAAAAAAAAAAACGGAATCAATTGCGATTAAACTGCGTGTAAATTTATACTTTCAACGAAAGCGGCAATACAATACAATAGCATAGTAGCTGAATTCTGATAGCGTTCAATTACTTGTATTTAAAAAAGGAATTAAAAAAATACAATATGAAAGCATATCGACTGTTTGTTATTTTCGTTTTTATCACGATGCATGATTCATTTATCATCATTGATAATGTAACAGTCAGTCCACAACGCTGTATCGGTGTTCGTAAATAGAACGATCGTTTTAAAATAAGATTCAAAACAGCTTCGAATCAAAAATTCATAGTCACGTCAAATAACATACAATTTCAGATTTTTAATCGTTTTGTGACATTGCATATTCAGAATCGTATATATACTGCTCACAAAAATTAGTGGATATTGCACTTTTGTATAGTGCATTTTCACCAATGAAATAAAAGTTAGTATTATATCTCATTTACATAATCAAATTTCTTTGATTTGCTCTTATGATGTTCTTGTTTAATAAAAAAAAAAAAATCAAGTGCTTCTTTTTTTGTCGCTTCATAGTTATTTTGAAATATCCTCTAATTTTTGTGAGCAGTGCATATATACATAATTATCTCGACAAGGAAAACAAATTACAAATTCAAGTTGACGATTCCGAAAGAACTGAATGTCAAGTGAATGAGTGTATTGTCATTGAACAATGACCGAAAGAGAAAAACAAGAAGAAGAAAAAATAAGTCAATTGGATAACGCGCAAGGAGCTGATTGTCGCTTCTAAGTACATGTGTTTCTTTATACAAACGTAGTACACAGGAACTCGCTCATTAGGCCAACATTCACAAGGTCGTATCACATCTTTGCCACTAGTCTATCACGCAGCAGAATATATTATACGACTGTATATATTATACGTATCA